ATAGAAAGCAGCCTCTTCTCAGCCTTTGATGAATAACACAAAGATTTTACTACAAGAAAGATAGGGTTCAGAAGGTCTGAGTTAGCACCACAGAGTCTACATTTCTAACAAGCTCATTGGTGATCCCAGTGGTTCAGAGCTGGTGTGAGTCTTGGAGTATCAAGAAACTAGATCACATATAATTTTTAAGTCAGAGTAAGCACTTTGCATGGTGTGATAAGCATTGTCAGAAAGAACATATCAAGATCCGTCCTGAAGTACAGTGCTGTCAGAGATAGGAGCTATAGGATGATATTAAGGACACCTTAATGAAGAAAGCACAGGTCATTAAAAAGTAAAGAAATGGCAAAACTAGATGTCAGAAGAGTCTCTGAAGTTTGGCCGTGAATGTAAAGAAGATAAAGTGAAAGAAAAATGATAAAATGAGAGAGCTGAAAAGAATATTCCGAAGGGCATCACAAGACGACAAAGCAAAAGTATTTTAACAAAATTAGCAAAGGCCTGGAGTTAGAAAACCAATTTCTCAAATTGAAAGAACTCTAGAACAGATTCAAACCTCGAGTTGAGATGTTGAAGAATTTTATGAGCAAAAATATTGAATGATGCCAAAAACACCAAATGAAGTTGGAAGAAATATAGACTCACTGTACCAAAAAGATTTGGTCTGTGCTGAATCATTTCAGGAAGTAACATGTGATCAAGAATTAATGATAATAAAGGAGGACATTCAGGCTACACTGAATGCATTGTGAAAAATAAAGCCCCAGGAATTGAAGAAATACCAACTCAAGTGTTTTAGTAAATCAGTACAGCCCTGAACATGCTCACTAGTCTATGCCAAGAAATCTGGAAGACCACTACCTGACCACTTGACTGAAAGAAATCTATTTTCCCTCCACCTCCTCCCAATTAAAAAAAAAGTTGTCTAAAAGAATGAAGACATTATTGAACAAAATCCATAATATATACAGGTAATGTCTTGTGAAGGTTATTTAAAAGTAGCTTGAAGCAGTACATCAATGGAAATTATCAGAAATTCAAGCTGGATTCAGAAGAGGCCATGGAACAAAGTATGTCATTGCTAATGTCAGATGACTCTTGGCTAAAAGCAAAAAATACCAGAAAGATGTTTATTTCGTTTTCTTGAATATCCAAAGGCATTTGACTGCGTGAATCGTAATAAATTATGGAAAACATTAAGAAGAATGGGAATTCCTGTAACACTTAATTGCACTCAAGCAAAACCTGTACATAGGACAAGAAAGAAGCAGTCATTGAAACAGAACAAGAGGATACTGCATAGTTTAAAAATATGGAAAGGAATGCATCAGG